ATGGAAGCGAGCGCAGCCAATGCCGAGGGAATGACGGAGAACCATTGACGCGCACTGGCGCAGGCTTCGGCCAACCATAGAATCACTTGTTCGACACGCCTAAATATTTAACTGTTTTTGTACATAACCCAAAAGTCTGACGACGAACTGGGGAACCAGATTGGAAAATTTACGCATTAAAGGTTATTCTCTTCCCAAAGTATCTTATTTTCAATGAAGTTTCTTGGGATGCCCGTTTTCCAGCAGGAGATAAAAGCAACGGAACTAGATGGTTCCAATCAAGCGCCCAAAGTCAGTACTTGGCGGATCCTTCCTTACATTAGAACTGTGCCTGTACTCGTTGAAAGACACTTGAGGAAACACCAAATAAAACTGGCGCACAAACCGGCGACTGCTTTGCGCATTCGGCCTGTAAACCCTAAGGACAAGGTTGGCTATCTTGATCAGAATGAAGTCGTCTATAAGATCTCATGCGATGCCTGTGATGCTGTATATTGCGCCCATCGGGAAAGTCTGCGTCTACACGCATCCATGAACAACAAGTGGCAGTTAAAAGACGTGACCACGTGTCTCAACTGGCCATGCACACTCTAGACACTGGACACACTTTCGCATGGGACAAAACTCGCATCGTCGGAGTTTGCCCCTCCAAAAAGTGCCGAGAGTTTCTCGAAACCATGCACTCCGACGAAACATGCATCAGTTGACACACTGAAGATCCCACGTACAAAAATCTCAGTGAAAACTGGAAGAGGAGAAACTCAGTCAATGCCGAATGACGCACTAGGCGGTCGCTTACTGGCTCAAACGCCAAATGAATATCGATTTTTGGGCACATTTTAAATGTTAGTTGTCGTTTGCACATTTGCTCAAGTCTGAAGACGACCTGGGAAACCAGCGTCGAAAATTTACTTCATAAAGTTTTCTACTTTTCCAAAGAACGTTTTTGCATTCCAATTATATTTCTTGGGATGCCTGCGTTCCAATTCATACAACAGCCTCAAGGAAAAATGGAAAAGGCGTTAGCCGATCAGATCATTACACCAGCAGGAGTGACAAGGCAAAATCGATTTTTTCGGCGTGTTTAAAGGTTAGCTGTTTTGCACACTTACTTCAAGTCTGAAGACGACTTGGGGAACCAAGATCGAACATTTACAATAAAGCTTGTTTGTTCTTTCCAAAAGAGCTTATTTCTTTCGAATTATGATTCTTGGGATGCCTTTTTTCAAACATATTCACATATATAAATATATATATATATATATTTAAAATCAAATACGTTCTTTGGGAAGGAGAGAAAAATTTATTGACTAAATTTTCGACGTCGATTCTCCGTGTCGTCGTCAAACTAAAGTAGATGTGCAGAAAACAATTAAATTTTCAAACGTGCTACAAAATCAATACTCATTTGGTGCTTCAGCCAGTAAGCTGCCGTCGTATGCGTCAGTCTGTATTGATCGGCTTTCGTCTCTTCCACTTTTCTCTGAGATTTTTGTACGTGAAATCTAACTCGATATGCCTGTTGATGCATGACTCATCGGAGTTAAGGTTTAGGGGTGGGGAGTTAGGGTCAGGATTAGGGAGACTATCGGTCGCAGTGGAATACCCATTTTGGGAAATTTAGGAAGTCCAAATATCTTGGCAATTGTGGGTTCGTCTTGTTTTAAGGATCTGGCCAGAACTCAAAATGGGTATTCCTTAACTCTGCATATATATATACCAAATGGGAGACGACATAGTCTGGGTATAGATTGATACAGAACTGTTTGTGTCTTTTTGTCTTCATTCAGCCAACCATAAGCCTGACCACCAGTTGGGACCGCAAACATAAATATGCGCGCAGACACACCTGGCGCATGTGGTCCACTCCTGGCAAATGAGGAAAGACTGTGAGAGTTGTTTCAGGATTATCGAGGAAAGTCAGCCCGTCACCCTGCAAATTCGGACTCGCACAACGGATTTGTTGATTTTACAGTATTATTAGTCGCTTACAAATGTTGTAGAGAGCTCTGGGCCCAACTGCAAAGCCTAAAGGTAGAAACATGCCCTGTGCTGTGAGCAGCCCATTGAACGATCCTTCTGTGCCATGATATCCATTTATTGAAAGCCCCACCCATCATTCAGCTTACACGAGTACTAGCAAAAAGCTCGAAATAGTCGTGAAATTCTTACCCTAGCCAAACTGACAAAAGTCTTTTTATCTCTTATTTTACGTCACTGTGTTTATTACGCGGCGGCATCATTACTAAGCCTGCTGGATTTGACAGACGTGAATATTACATGATTTACACATCTGCACCATGCCAGGCTTGAAATTAAATCTCTGCCGAATGTACGCTTATAACTTTCTATAGAACTTATAAATTGTCACACCGTCTGTGTGAAAAAACCGTCGCAAACGCTGACTCACGGCAGTAGCTACATCATCAGCAGCAGCTGACTAACATCATGAGGGGTTTGCTGATGTCTCTGAGGTCCTTGCGGCGAAATCGAAAAGGCCGTACTTTCTGCGGTGTAAGGCGGCTGTACACGAGCGGAGAACTGGGGTGGGTTTCTAGTCAGCTTTCAGCGGGAAATTTATGTCGATAGGGGAAAGAGACCCCGCAAAAACCAGGTTCGTATCTTCATTTATGAAGTGCAATCACTGCAGCACCTGTTACGGAGGAACGCGTCTCAATTGTCTTAGTTTGATGCCCGAAAGACAGGAACAGGTCACCAACTCTATTATGCACCTGCTGTCTTGACTGATGCAGTTGTCTTGACACCGGGCCCAGGCGGGAGAGGAGGAGAGAGTGTAGGTAGATGCAGCGCAAGTCTACCCGCACTATAAACCCCTGAGCAAGTCACCGTCCCTGCTCCCACCTGCTGTGGGGCACATGGTGAACATCATCGAAATCGATGGTCGAACTGTCGTGTGTGTGTGTGGGAGAGAGAGAGAGAGAGGAAGAAAGAGAGAAAGACAGTACGTAAAAGAAGACACAGAGTCCTTGCAGCTACCATGGACCAAATTTAATCATCCGGACTGCAGAATGAAACTCTCGCAAAAATAAAGTCCGCCTTTCTAGCTCGAATGCCCCGGCTGCTGGCTGATATGAAAGTTCAGTGCCTACCTGATGTTGTACATGGGCGTTTGAAATTTGCTACCTATATATCCAGAATAGCTGATTGTCGGTGTCCGCCCTTGTTGCTGCTTGGATATTCGCGTCAAAAGACCTGAGTAATTATTTGGGGCATTCAGTTACCTTGGTCACTGGACAACCACGCTCCCAAACTGTCTCGATCTGCCGAAATCACGTTAAGTGAGCTACCTGTGAGCTATATGCTGGTTCACGCTTTTTGTAAACTGCCACACAATAAATCCTTGCTGGCTTTTCAGAATCCCCTTTCCAAACTATTCCGGGCTGAGGAGTTCGGAAGGAACATCCACTGTGTTTACCGGGTGCTTCGGGCTGTTGCAGAGCCTTCAAATGGGTTTTACCAAGTCAATGCTCCTGAGTGGTTAATTTTGATATCGTCGGATTTTTTATTTACGTTAGATACAGTAGATGTGCTTACTCATGAAATGTCAACCAAAATTTTGAAATCCGTTCTCGTTCCGAAAAGATAAATTAAGTAGTGTTGTAAAAGTAATCATGATGCAGCATAAATCTTTAATGATCCAATTACCTCAGGGTGTCGGCTTTCGAAAGAACTTATTGTCGGCTGCATGCAAGATCTATACTCTGCAAAAAATGACTACTTAAGTAGCATGCAATTTTGTCATTGGTTTTCGATGCCCTTTAAAATTCAATTATATTTCATGGAAAACATGCATAAAAATATTCATCCTCTTACTTATTCGGTAGAAAAGCACGTCTTCTTCCAATTTCATACTCAAAAGAAGAGTATAATTCGGTTTTAAAAAGTTTTTAATTGTGAGATTTTTTAATACCGTTAAATGGCCGTTCATGAAACGTCATGTATCTGCATTTACGAATGTGGCTTGTAAAATTAACAATATTGCTCAAATCCACTGCTTAATTTTATGAACTACATATGGTCTCCTCTTAACAACGTAGAGAAATGTATGGTTTCCCGCACACGGAAAATATACAGCTTGTAGTTTTGAAACCCTGAATGCAAGTGTAACAGTAGGTTGGGTTCAAAATTATTCGGAAATTATAAAAGGTTTTAAAACCGAATTATACTCTTCTTTTGAGTATGAAATTGGAAGGAGACGTGATTTTTCACCGAATAAGTAAGAGGATGAATATTTTTATGCATGTTTTCCATGAAATATAATTGAATTTTAAAGGGCATCGAAAACCAATGACAAAATTGCATGCTACTTAAGTAGTCATTTTTTGCAGAGTATAGATCTTGCATGCAGCCGACAATAAGTTCTTTCGAAAGCCGACACCCTGAGGTAACTGGATCATCATAGATTTATGCTGCATCATGATTAGTTTTACAACACTACTTAATTTATCTTTTCGGAACGAGAACGGATTTCGAAATTTTGGGTGACATTTCATGAGTTAGCACATCTTCTGTATATATTTAGTTGCTTTGCGACGTTCGGCCCCAGGAGCTAATTTTGCGGATGTAAAACAAACAATTTCGCTGGTCTGACAGATGCCATTAGCACTGCGAACAACGGCGGACTGTCTGGCAGCATGACGAAGATGGGATATGAGGAAGGACTTCCGCAGGTGACCAGGTAAGTACCTAACGACCTGACGACTCGTTTCGCGGACAACGGGTCAGTCTGGTGAAGCAGTCCTGTGTATCGCTTCCAACCTCTTTGTCCTCGTGTTCGCCGCCATGCTGGTGGACGCGACCAGCAACGGATAGCAATTCAAATTCTGTACCCGGCCAGCGTCTGCGACTCTTCATTCGCGGAAGACTCCGAATGTAGAGCCTGCGGCAATCTGCTCCACGGACGCTTACTCGTGCTGCCCCTCTGTTCGCTATCTGAGTCCTGCATGACTTGACAATAGCTTGACGGGAGCTCAAAACCAATGGATGCTGCGTCCTTTTCTGATTGGCTGCAGCTGGATGAAGCCGAGAGCGCGCGGTGAGCCCTACGACCGGCCTGAAGAGACGGATTGCTGCAACTGTTTGATGAGCTACCTGCACGATCTCCGGCTGTCCAGTAACTCCGTCTGCCCGCGGACCCTCGTATTGTCGACCCGCTGCACTTCGGCAAGTCCTCTGCTTTCAGTGGATCGGAATTCGAGTGGACTGGTAGCATGAAGAAGATAGTACCGAACTCAGGATCAACTCCAGTGGGACTTAATCCACAACAGTAGACAAATCCGCATATGAAGTGGCCAATCGGATCTCCAAAGCTTGTCAGGCATTCCTAAGCTGCAACATCCAGTTCGACATCGTTTAGACATCCTCCTCAAGGTGGAACCGGTAATTTGCCGGGCTCTTGGTCTACATACATGGATGGTCGGTAGAAGCGAACAGGCGAGTCCCAGGAAGCAGTTCAGATGAAGCAGAAGAAGAAGAGGAACAGGAAGAAGAAGAAGAAGAAGAAGAAAAAGAAAAAGAAAAAGGAAAAGAGGAAGAAGAAGAAGAAGAAGAAGAAGAAGAAGAAAAAGAAAAAGAAGAAGAGGAAGAAGAAGAAGCAGCAGAAGAAGGTGATGATGATGATGATGATGATGATGATGATGATGATGATGATGATGATGATGATGATGATGATGATGATGATGATGATCACTGAAATAAGAATTTTATTGGCCAGACGTTCCGGATTCTGCCTCGAACACATCA